GTCCGGCCCACTTGCTGTTGGTACTTTGCGGTTGATGCTGTGTTCTGACACTACGTCACTATCAGAGTTTTGGCAGTCCGTGGAGAAGCTGTTGAACAGAAAAGGGACTGGTTTTAATAACCTCACATGTGGCTACTACATCCGTTGTGTTGTGGAGGGAATGCGGTAGCAGCGTTGGCCTCAGGTCAAATGGTCTGGACGGTTTATTAAAGTTCTGTATCTCTTACACCCCTTTACAGTGCTTATCATCTGCCAACATATGGATTGAGACAGCTGGTGATTTAATCAAAAGTTAAAAAGCCATGTTGGTTTGTCAAAGTTCTCACAGCTGGACACCAGTTTGCGATCCACAATCTTTTTGTTCTCCGCAATTTTTCCAGAATGATATTCCAACATGTTCCCCTCGCTAGTCCCCACCCCCACTCCGACCCTATCTTATTCTTTTCCTGTGTGCATGTGTGTTTTTATAGACAAGAGGTCACCAGTAGTGACTCTTTTCTTTCCCTCCCTCCCTCTCTGGCTGCTCCAGTTATCTCCAGCACAGCCTGTCCGTAGACTTACTGTGACTCAGTCCTCCTCACGCATGTTTTTCTCTTTTGTACTTAGTAGCCGATTTGAGAACAATTACTTTTTGTTTAGTGTCTGTGAGGAGTTCAAGGGAGGCAGATGTTGGTCCTTGTTACAGTGCTGGACAACATGAAGCGGAGGGAATATAATTCAAGGCCAATGCTGAACAGACCTTCACTTGGATTCTTCAAGCACCACATCAGAGGGATGAGAGTTATTCAGGGTCTTGCAGAGGCAATGGTATCGGAGCAACAGAGAGAAAAAGATCGGTGCCTTCTGTGACTAGCTCTCGGGGTAATGAGCAATGTGTGAACTTGTTAACTCTGCCTGTTCTCTTTGACCTTCATTTAAACTAAGGATTAGCCATCTCATCAGAGTTCTTGGGGAGAAGCCAAGGCTTGTTTTTCCTCGAGCATACTCAAAAGGAGGATCTGGAAGGAAACAAGCTGCTCATTCCCTCGGAGAAAGCTTTTTACATTCTTCCTTTGGCAAGAAACTTGAAGCGATTAAAAAGCTAATTTACTTGGACTGACTTCAAGAAAAGAAAAACACACTGCATTTAAATGTCTTGCTGTAATGGATTTGGATCACTTCTACAGCTCAGCCCAGGAGCGTGCTGTTTATCTACCTGATTTGAGCTCATCAAAGGATCCAAGAACATATTGATGATCTCAGTCTTCCCAGGAAATGGAGCTTCGTAAGAGAGTAAAGCTGAGGAAACTTCAACATAGTTTGGGCCTTTCACAAGATGCAGCAGCTGCAGGGAAATGCAGCAGTAACATATGGGGGGCAGGAAGATCGAATGTCTCACAGCGAGGTAGAGGGGAGGGTTACCTGCTCGGAGGATCCGGTGATTGTTCCTGTTTGGAGATTCTACCCTGGTGGCCTTGGCGACAGTGTGTTTCCATGGCAGCCGGGCTGTTATTAGCTGGGCTGCTGGCACTGGCTCAGGCCTGGTGCGTCAACGCCATACACGAGAATCTGCTGTGGTTCTCTCAGCTCACGGTAGGGGTTACACTGCAGCGTTAATCTGAAGCTTTGATTAAAAGAACCGCACGGCAGACAAGCTCTCGCTCACAGCGAGAGCTTGCGGTAAGAGTTGCAGGGGTCCAGGTGGTAACATGGGGCATATAAAAACTGTCACACCTCTCAGCTCTCCAATCTTAGCTCACAGTAGGAGTAGGTCCAGTGACTATATTTGTATATGTGTGAATATATAATTTCCTTTTATTTTTCATCTATTATCTTCCATGCCGTTATGAGCAGCCCTGCCCCTTCATTCATTGTGACAAATCATTCAATCCAAGATATCATTTTTTATTCAAAAGCTTCCTGCTGTGTCTCGAATAATGATAAAGTGGACACTTGGTTTCAATTTTTTCAGTGCTTTTGAAGAGAGCTGAAAAGGGATGCTATTACAACAGTACTGCTGATGTTACAGATGGCCACAACACAGGGATATCATGATACAGTCAGGTATACAACTAGAAATAGGTATATTACAAGAAACAATATTTATGCATTGCTCCGTGTTCGAGAAGCACAGGGGAGACTTATAGAAGTTGACCTTCTTTACTTTTCCCTGTAGTTAAGAGGGCCAGAAATGAAAAATGTACTTGGGTCATGATGAGCTGCAGAATTTATTCACGGGAAAGATTAAACCTACACTGTTTATTTACTACCACTTGACAACTTTACTGTTCCTTCCTCCTTTCCACCAATTGCCAACAGCTGTCTCCGTCCAATCATTCGCTAACACCATACATCAAACTTAATGTGTCTTTCTGTTGTGTTTTCCCCAAAGTGGTAGATTGCCAAATGACTTTATCCATTATTGCCAAAAAAGTAACCACATATGCCAGGTGCTGGTTTCAGACCCTGACACAAAGGTCATAGAATTACGTGTGGTGCTTATGCTGGTAGTTTACTGAGGTCACTAAACTTAGAGGTTGAACATTTTCCAACCAATCAATCACAGCTTATCTATGCTCATTATGTTCCGGGAGTTCCTGAGTCTATTTTGTGAAACAAGAGGTTGATAAGTTTTTCTTGCATCTGTGTTTTGCTGTACTGCCTAGTTTTCCGCCAATGGTGCGTTCATGTGCTCTTCCTATCCCACCACCCGAGTTGGGACATTGTTCTTCTGACTTCATTGTGTTACAAAGATGATGCTTTTTTGCATGTCGTTGTTCTGACTTGAGGGGGCTTTCTTGGGACATTTTCAGTTGGGAACACATTTTTGAGATTATTTAAACTTGAATCCAGAGCATCTACCTCGGAATGTCAGCAAAAGTTCAACACAAATTCCATATCGGCCCCGTGATTCAGGTAGGCTCCAAAGTTGAATAGGTTATTTCTTTCTTGGACCATTCAAGCAAGTTTCAGAAAATCCAATGGACATAAGAGAGCTGAACATGTTAACTCCTTACTCCTTAGCAGTAGCGTAGGCAGAAATGTACTTTAGGCCTGTATAAAATAGGGTGGGCCAGCTTTTTACAGGGGGAAAAATGACTCTAAGGTAGGCCTGGCCTATAGTAATAATAATATATAATAATTGCCAAGCATCGTTGTAGCATTCCCTCCGAATAATGGTCAAAGACTCGACTGATGATATGAATTTATTGAAATCTCCAATATCAACGTAAGAGCTATGAAGACACACAAATAAAAAATACATTTAGGCGGTATTAGAATAACTTTAGCATACTACCAAAAATGAACTGTAAACAGACAGCAAAGCTACAAAACAGCATATAAACGAATTAGGACAAAACCCAAATTTTTATATTATAGTTAATACCAACTTTGTGCCTCTTCGGGGGATGCTAAACTTAAACAGAACATAAATTGGGTTATTTACAATTGTTAGGTAACTCTTTTATTGCACTAGGTAATAGCAACAATAGGTTGTAGCATTCAAACCTGCTCATGGACTTGCAGTGGTCCTCGCTTTTTTTATGTCTCTCCAACGAGTTACGCAGGTGCTTCCAGTCTACATATCCATCCCTCTTAAATGCACCTTCAGCTCCTGGGCTGGGGAAATGTCTGCACATTTTACAGAAAAATGCTTGCCTACTTGCGCTGTATTCCACCCAGGGAAAATCTTCATACCACCTCAACCAGCTTTTACCGAAAATGAGTTACGTTCAGAGGATAAAACACATACAACAGTAATTCAACTCGATATTTGTTCACTTGAATTTCACTTTGAATGCTTGGATATTCTCAATGGGTGAATACAAAAATGTATAATAATTATACAAAATTAAAAAAGTTACACCAAAGCTTTCTTAGGGTGGGCAAATGAGTAAAATGGCCCACCCTGGCCCCATGGTGGCTACGCTACTGCTCCTTAGGTAACTATTTGGGTAAATTATGCTTTCAAGTCTTCTGGTTTCCTCTTGATTAATCAGGTCATGGTATTTGGCTACAAAGGGACAATTAGGAACATACTTAAAAATATGGAACATTTCTTACACATAATATATTTGACCACACTTTTTGTTTTTTTTCAGTAAGTTTAGTTGCAAATCTCAATCAGCTGAGCCGTTTCCTCCAAGTCATTTAAAAACAGTTTTTACGAGATGTTTTTATGGTCTCTTTATTAGAAAAAGCAATCTGTAAGTCATTACTGAAAAACAATGACATCACCGGCACTTTAGTCATACTCTAACTATGCTTCGGTTTTTAATAAGTAGTTTTTGAAATCCAACGGAAATATGAAAATGATAATCCTGGAGAAACAATTGAAGAGACTTTGAGTTAAATTGCAAAGCCGATATGTCAACAAAATATATCACTTCACTCAAAGAATGTGATTTTAGTGGAGCACAGCTGTAAAAGCTATTCACAGAGGGAACATGATGAATGGAGGATTGAGTTTATATTCTGCAGCTGCTTGTTCACTGTTTGCTCTCCGTCTTTACCCCCTAGTGGAACAGTCATCATACATGGCAAGCAGGAGCACTCTTGGGAAGACATCGTCTAAGTACACACATAAACACACAGACATACCTGTGCTATAGTTGTTGAGCATTACAAGTATTTAAGCTTTTTCTTAAATATATTCTTCAAGTTTTCCATTATTCTTTGCCATGATAAATGTGTATGCGGCTATCTAGCCTCTTCTGATTATTCCATTTTATACTGTAGATATATCTGCCTTTTTAAGTAGCAATGGTATACTGTAGATACAAAAAGGCAGTTAGTTACAAAACACATACTATGTATTGCTTAAATTGCTCACATTAATATTATCTGTCAGAACTAAATCAATTTATTGAAAACAGTATAAGCACAGGCTTAAACAAAGAAGAAGAAAGATTTATAGTTATGGCGGTATTCTAGTTTCTCAAAAAGTGTTTCATCTGCTTTCCATGTTTCAGAAAACAAGTCTTTGATGTCTTTGACTAAAATCCCCTTTCTGCTTTCAGGAAGTGGAGCGTGAGATCTCTTTCCGGACAGAATGTGGACTTTATTACTCCTACTACAAGCAGATGTTGCAGGCCCCGTCCATACAGGAAGGTATACATCATTTAAAATGGCCCAATTGGGCTTCTTGGGTATTACCTTTCCTGTAGGTATATAGTTTTTTTTGCATGTAAATGGTCTGCAAAGGCTAAAATCCCTGTGGTCCTAGGGGGGGGGGCGCAGCGCTATTGCAGGGGGGGAGCGTGAACCTCGAAAATCGACTCGGTGTGTAAGGACCTTTACGTGGTCGGTGGGGAGATCTCTCTTTCTCTCTCTCTCTGTGTGGAGGGGGCGGGAGATCTCGCTCACAGACTCGCTCACAGACACGCTGCAGCACCGTGGACACCAGTGATGGGAATTCCGTCTCTTCTTGTTGAGCCGGATCATTTGGCTCGGCTCACCAAGAAGAGCCGGCTCTTTCGGATCCCAAACGGCTCTTCAGTTTACCACATATTATACCTTTTATAATTAAATCAAATGTAGCCCTGTTTTGACTAATGATTTATATGTGTTTAAGACTTGATTATATTTAACATCATTTATCCAGATCTGCAAAGTAACTCAAGGTATTAAATACATGTAGTGGAGTAAAAGTACACCATTTCCCTCTGAATTGTAGTGGTGTAGAAGTACAAAGAAGCAAAAGTGGAAATACTTAAGTACCTCAACATAAGTACAGTACTTGAGTAAATCTACTTAGTTACTACCACTGCAGGTATGTTATGTGTGCTAGCTGCCCATAATCCACACTATACATAAAATGAATCAATGTGAATTCTGTTTCCAATTTGTTTAGTTTTTCCCTTAAGAAATAACAAAAATAACCTATAATAAAGATAATGTTAAAGAACCAGATCAATAAGCAGTATTTGTNATTAATTATGAATTATTAAAAATTATTTTAGCCAATAACATGCACAATGATATGTAAGGAATGAAACTGCCATTTCATTTTGGAGCAAAAACATGCACTTCACTGGGTCTTTAACTCTGAGTTCTGTTGCTCCAATTACGTGTAAGGTGGGAGAAGTACTCAGATCAAGTAAAAGTGGTATACTGCAGGTGTAACTAAAGTCTGATTTAAGAGTTGATTATATTTCACATCATTTATCCAGATCTGTAAAGTAACTAAAGGTATTAAATACATGTAGTGGAGTAAAAGTACAACATTTTACCTCTGGACTGTACTGGAGCAGAATTACAAAAAAAGCAAAAGTGGAAATATTAAGTACCTCAAAATAAGTACAGTAGGCTGCTTGAGTAAATCTACTTAGTCACTACCACCACTGCAGCCCATAATCCACACTATATATAAAATAAATCAATGTTAATTCTGTTTCCAATTTGTTTAGTTTTTCCCTTAAAAAATAACCTATAAAAATACTGTTAAAGTACCGGCTCGATAAAATGTATTTGTAATTGTTTCAATTAGGCCTCATTATTTCACAGTGGCACAGGATCATCTGCCAATACAAGCACTTTTGTTCATGTTCATCCATAATAAAATATACAATTATAGTTGGATCTTTTTGTCTTGTTATTATTAGCTGTGAAAATGTAATGTTTGTACAACTATATACAATTTTTAAGTCTACCAATCTCAGTGGGTACCGGGTAAGGGGGTTCTCGAAAATATTTCCAATTACCCAAGGGGGGCCTGACTGAAAAAGGTTGGGAACCACTGTTAGAGTAACACATACAATTGGTACTCGATGTTAGTGATATATTCATTTACTACATCTCATGCCATACCAGCTGCAATAGAACTCTGTAGTGATAATGTATTTGTGTAGGCCAACTAAGAAGTCAGTGTCGCCCTGGTTGTGACAACAAAGGCCAATGGGATTTCTCCATTGGATTGTGTCAGAAGAAAACCGCTTTGGCAAACAAAAGTTCATGATACACTTAATTAACACAATTTTGTAGTAGTCTTATTTAGCAACTTGTTCGCAGCTGTCTTTTTAAGATGTTTAAAAGCTCCAAATTCTCAAGTGGGGAATTTTCTGACATATTTTATGCCCTAAAATAAAAGATTTTAAAAGATCTTATCGAAAACATATTAAGTACCCATTGACTTTATTCATTTGTGTCAATTACTGGCTAAACCTCATAACTCATCAGCTCTTTTCGTTCCTCTTTCTAGTGCTCATGACAGTGATGTCAAAGAGGCCAACAAGCAGAAGCTCCAGCAGCCCGGCCCCCCCCCCAGCAGCAGGGCCAGACGGTGTACCACGGTTCAGGCCAGACAGCCTCCGTGACCCAGTACCTTCACCGGTCCAGCGTGCAGTACCCCCCCCAGCATGCTCAGCCCCCGGGCCTGGCCCCCCCCCACAGGCCTGCCTCCTACCTCAGCCACTCTGCTGCCGGCCTCCAGGCCTCCAACCCCAGCACCCAGCCCATCACTGCTGCCTCTCAGGATCCAAAGTCCGGCTTCCCAAACAGGGCTTACCAAGTCAGTATGCACTACACCTGCGCTGCTCCGTGCTTTGACAGATGAGGGCTTTTCAGGATTTTTCGGGGGGAAGGGAAGATGTGTTTCTCTTGAACATAACAGAATGCATTTAATGATAAAAAGGTGTTTTTAATTTGGAGAGTCTTGATGAGATTGGTACAGCACTTTGAACCATAGGGTGTAAGATAATGTGCAATATGCATACTCTGCTGTTATATTCTGTGGAGAGCCTGCAATAGGATTTATTTTTGTTTAGATATTGGGTATGAATGTTGTTGTGAGGTGGCTAGAGGCAGAGTTTGCACCACTAGTGTCACTGTATTATTAAGCTAGAGACCAAAAGTCTTGTATTTATTTGAGCCAAAATACCTCAGAAGTATTGAATGTACATGCACCCGGTGCCTGTTGCCTTTATGTTATTAAGGGCACTTTCCAAATTGGACTTGCGTGGCTTTTTGGTTGAGATTAGAGAGCACAGTTTGTGTTGGTGTTACCTTGAACTTTTTTCTTTTTTTTTTATGTTTCATTTGTAACTGACGAAAAAAACGTAAGAAAAGAAATACTCTCGATGTCACAATTTATTTGCAGAGAAAATTGTTGCTCTTCTGTACAAAGAGGATTTCAGTCAGTGCTGTGCACTCCTATGATACTTTTAATAAAATACAAATCTGTGTTAGTTGAACTGAGATTTCGTTTTCCTTTGACGCAGCCTCAGTTCTGGTTGGAAATCTAATGTGATGCACTCACTAAACTTCATTTTTTAGCTGTCTAACACACACTGTAGCTGAAACATGGAACGCTTCCAGAAAATTGAAGATCCCCCATCAATCATTGTTGTCTTTCCACTAGACTCATTAATGCGTTAATACAAATATAATCCTGTTTTTGAACAAATGTTACTCTAAAATGTGCTATTGCCATAGACTGTATATAAAGAGCCATTACTCTTAACAAATAATTTTCTTTTGTTTCTCAAATATATTTTGATTTCAATTATCCAAGAATGGAATTGAATGCAGGACTTGTTGACAACTAAAAAGAAGAAACTGCCTTTAACAGTGTATGTCCTGGCGACCCGCGGCCAGCAGAGGGCAGTGTGTGCTACATTTATGTTGATGCTCCCTGGCTTCACAGTTTAATGCTGTTCTGGCTGTCTCCATGAGAAGAGAAAACACTCGTGTTCTGGATTTTAGAAATCCATGAAAACATTCCTGCAGCGCCTCAACACTTTTATTTTATTTGTTAAGGATTCAGCCCATTTTAAAATCCCGTAAATACGTTTTTTTTACTCATTTTATTTCAACTTGTAAAAACTATATTTATTTACTTTCGCTCTTTTATTTTTAATAGCACTTTCCTATTTTAACTTTATATTTTTTTTATTAAATAAACTCACCTGTAAAGCTAGGGATTTTCCCTTTCCTGTAATGTGTATAGGTTTGTATGCATGTAAATGTTCTGCAAAGGCTAAAATCCCTCAGTTTCTCCCCCCTGCCTGAAATGCCTCCATTTGACTCCTTCGTTTACTCCTTAATCATTATGACATCATTATGTAACACTTGCGCTTGTAAAGGCTAGCACTCCAACAAATAATACGTAATAGGCAAGGGGCGGGACATCTCTAAGTGGTTGACCAATCACAACAGAGGTGACCAGCTAACCAATCAGAGCAGACTGGGCTCTGGTTTCAGACAAAGGGTGAAAAGAGGTGCTGCAGCATGAGGAAACCACACTCACAAACAGCCTCTCTCTAGTTATATAACATCCAAATCGATATATTCCTCCTACACTCCAACATTTTGTGTACTCTGAAAATCTGGAATCGTTGACATACTTTGAAAGAAAGGGGTCTTGGCATGTTCTTATTAAAGTCAGTCCCTGCTTTAACACAATGTGGTCGGGTCTGAGAGAAATCTACATGTTACCAAGTGGCAGAAATAGCCTTTCCGCTCTGAGGTTATACACTGCGGAGCTTTCTGTGGAGGAGGAAGCAGTTTGATGAACCTGCTGGTGATGACCTCAGTGTTCTGGCTGTTTAGCCTTCGGTATATCCTCCTCCACTGCTGTTCACTGTCTGTACAGATCAGGGGCCGTATTCACAAAGCATTTTTATCTTACCGCTAGGAGTGCTCCTAACTCGCGCTAAAACATTTCACGTAGGAGTTTTTTCTTAAAAGTTATTCACAAAGCCGCTGAGACCTACTCATACTAAGGATAAATCACTAAGAGTGACGCGCCGTTGCTATGGATTACGTCGATTCTCGTGCATGACTTTAGAAGCGGTCAGTACGGTGATTGGTTGTTCAGAGCAGGCGGTCTCGGTGAAACTCATCCGCAACATCCCACAAACGAGCCCACTAAATCACCGAAAAACAAGGAAATAGCCTAGGCTAGAAATGTATTCCTATCAAATAGTTATGGACAGTGCAGTTAGCAGAATACACGCATGATGACAAGTTTGTGCAGACCACGATAATGACGTTGTATATGCACGTTAAAGAGAGAGCAAACAATAAAAATACGTAAATTGCATTAAATCAAGGAGGCAATTAAAAGCACCCTGCAAACTATTATCCAATGAGCATATTTCCAGCACTTAAACACTTTCAATAACAGCCCATACCGCCGTTCAAGTCCCCCTATCATGATGAATGAAAACAATCTGCGTGTTGATGGAATGTACTTTCTTTCTATTGACGAACACGTCCTCATCTTTTGATGGCGCAATTATTTTTATGTGCGTCCCGTCAATAGCACCGACCACACCGGGCATACCTGCAATTGCCATGAAGTTGGCTTTGATCCTGTGTAGTTGTTGATTGTCCAAAGGAAACCGGATAAACTGTTGGATGATATGTGGTCTAGAGAGCGCGTTGATGGTTTGGTTTATGGCACGGCTGACTGATGGTTGCGATATTCCTAAATCGTCNACGTCACCATCACTTGATTCATCTAAATGAGTTCATACAATGAAATACCAACTCCAATGAATTCATAAAGGTGAAACGAAGAAACATGAAAGATGTGGTGATGGTAAGGTCTCCCTTTACCACATGAAAAATGAGGTGATTGGTACATAAATTATGGAACTCAATGAAACGTCTAGACCTATTTACTACAAAGTTATAATTAGTTCAGAATTTGTGGTATATTTAGTAATCAGGTTTTTGTCCCACCGATGTAAACTAAATTAATAATTTGCCATATATATCACCCATTTGACTTCTCGGCAAACCCTAGGCTTTCTCGGCCGAGAAGGACCACTTCGGCTCCGGTTAACTAAGCCGAGTGTCTTCTCTGCCTTAAGGAAGTGAACCACAAGGTGTGCCACGACGCGTCTGCACAGGGACCACTCGCTCAAGAACACTCGGCTCTAGAGGGCAGCGGGGGGAGGTGGTGTCTCTCTCCTCCTCTTTATCCTCTAGAAGGGGTGCGCTGTGGGACATTTCCAGGAATGTGTGGCTCAGCTAAAAGCTCCAAAGGGCGAAGGGGGGGGAACGTTGATCGCCGACGGCGGGGTGGGGGATTGCCTGGTGGTCCCTAAAATCGGAAACGTCTGGTAAAATGTTATGTGTGCTAGCTGCCCATAATCCACACTATACATAAAATGAATCAATGTGAATTCTGTTTCCAATTTGTTTAGTTTTTCCCTTAAGAAATAACAAAAATAACCTATAATAAAGATAATGTTAAAGAACCAGATCAATAAGCAGTATTTGTTTCAATTAGGCCTCATTATTTCACAGTGGCACAGGACCATCTGCCAATACAAGCACTTTTGTTCATGTTCATCCATAATAAAATATAAAATTATAGTTTGATCTTTTTGTCTTGTTATTATTAGCAGAGAAACTGTAATGTTTGTGCAACTCTATACAATTAATTCTACCAATCTCGTGGGAACCGGGTTGGGGGGGGGCTCGAAAATATTTCCAATTACCCAAGGGGGGCCTCACTGGCTAACGGACGGGACCTCTTGAAGCAGTTAACCAATCACAACAGAACAGGCCAGCTAACCAATCAGAGCAGACTGGGCTCTGGTTTCAGACAGAGGGTGAGCGGTGCTGCAGCACAGGCAGTATGAGAAAAATAAAGAGCTTTTTGAACATTAAAGCATGGAGACATGTCCCAGGAGAGTTTTATCACTCCATAGTTAAGAAAACAAGGTCAACAGCCATACAAACTAAATCTATTTCTCGCCATCGTAATGTTATATGAATCAGGCTATAAATAATGTATTAACAAGTCCCTCTGTAGAGAAACTTTAGAATATAGATCCAATAACGCTGGAAAGTTTGCTCTAAGTACTACTAAAGATTTCTGCCTCAGAATGAGAACAAAATATATACCTTGAGAAAACGACCTTTACGGATATGTATTTTCAAATTCCATACAAGAAACTAAAGGGTAAACAGGTGAAACATCTAAACTAATTGCTAATACCATGAAATAAAATGATTTTATTGTAATTGATGTGTTTTTTATATTGCAAACGTTCTAAAATATTTAGTTTGAAAGTGCAAATGAGGCATTATCTGATACTAACTTAAGCTGTTAAAGGAGAAATCTTCAGACAAAAGCAGACAGTACATCAGGATATGTATTTTTTATGTCTTTCTTTTCTACTCGTCCGAGAGAAGACTCAAAATGCCCAAAAGTTCAGACCAGTGCATGAAAAAAACCACTTGCTTCTGAGTTTGAACCTGTATTTATGGCCCTTTTGCAGGATTCTTGTTTGAGTCAGATGATGTTTTTAATGGAGCTTTATTTAGAAGTAATTGCTATGGTGATCGAAACATAGTCTTATTATACTTTTGGTAATTCTATTTTGACATGGATGGAGACATCATACTGTCACGGTTTTAAGTTTGTGTGTCTGGTAGTGGGTGTTTTTCTGTTCTCCTTGTCATGTTTTCCTCCCTGTATATTGTCTGGTCTTTTTTCCCTGTGTTTTCCTGTCTGTCGTTAGTTTCCCTGGTGTGTCTAATTTCCTGATTGTTTTCACCTGTCACCCCTTCTGTGTCTCCTGTGCTCATCAGTGTCAGCCCCGCCCCTGATTGTTCCCACCTGTGTCTTGTTACCCTGTGTTTAAATTCCCCAGTCTCCCAGTGTTCAGTGTCAGTTCGTTTTTGTCTCTTGTCATGTTCAGGTCTATGCGTTTTGTCTCTTGTCATGTTCAGGTCTATGTGTATTGTCTCTTGCTATGGTCAGGTCTATGCTCCTTGTACTTTTGGAAAAGTTTGATTACTCACTACGTAAGCGATTTCATTTTTTGTTCTCTATTTTTGTCATCTCGGCTAGAGATTTGATAGTTACCTTTTTTGTTGTTCAATGCTGTTTTGGAAAATAAAGTATCTTACAAATACTTTACCTCTGTCTCCCGGGTCTTGCAATTGGGTCCTACATCCTAAGTGTTTGAGTTCGTAACACATACAGCTGTTTCTACCGGCTCTTACAAGAAAAAACATCTTTTCCCTCTCCATTTTCCAACCAGACCAAACAAACCACTGCTGTTTCTGTGACGCACAGTCTAGTCTGAGGGAAATGAGTCTAATTATTTCTTCCCGTTATCATGTAACACTTCTAGTTGGAAACAGGCCTAATTTTGCTCCAAGGCAAATAATTGAGCTGAAGGCTAATCAGCGGAGAACTGGCTGACCTCCCTTTCACTCTCACTCTGCACTCCTTTATTTTTTTGTCTGCAGAGCGGCTGTGTCACAGTATTAATGGTACGGGGGGGCAGAGAACAACATGTGGCATAATGGTGGAAATTAGACAGATGTAAGATTGATGTATGAAATTAGGTGAGATGGGAGAAAGTAAGCATACATGGAAAGAAAAGGATGGGGGAGGGTGTGAATAGAAAGATACAGGATGAGTGGGTTGTGTGTGTGTGTGGGTAGCAATGGATCCTTAGTTTAAAGCTCTTACATGGATGAAAAAGGCAGAAAGGATGAGGCTGACACACACCGGCCTGCAGCGGAAACTCAGCTCTTTGCTGTCACGCTTTGTTCCAGTCAAAACAGATACACAGAGACCATGCTGCACCCACTGCCCCTTCTGGAATACTGACACCAGTGTGTGTGTGCACGGTCATATAACATCAGTACCAGCCTTTTTGCATGCAATGGGAGAAATATAGGAGAATATGCATTTATTTTGAATACAATGTGGGTGTTATATTAGTTTTTCTTGCCAATAAACCTCACCAAAGTACTTACTGAGAAGCAGTCAGAGGAACAGCGATGGGAGTAGAAAAAGGGGCAAAAGGGCTAAAACTCTCTGTAAAGCTAAAGGGATTACATCATTTGTTACTATGAATGACACCTGTCATTTGACAGAAGTCTTGTGCATGTGTTTTGTCTGTAAAGGCTCAAATCTCAACTTTTCCCCCAGAGGGAGTTTCTCTCCCACACACTCCCCCTGCCTGAAATGCCTCCATTGGACCATCCATCACTACGTTTATTTTGTATGTGATAGCCTAAGGGGCGGGACATCTCTAGGCATAGACCAATCACAACAGAGCCGGCCAGCTAACCAACCAGAGCAGACTGGGCTCTGGTTTCAGACAGAGGGTTAAAAAAGGTGCGGCAGCACAGGCAGTATGAGAACAATAAAGAGATTTTTTAACATTAAAGCATGGAGACATGTCACAGGAGAGACACAACATATACACCTGCAAATGAGAAGAATAGGGCCCCTTTAAGTTGAGGTAGCGTCATAAAAAGACTATGGGAAATGCTGACATTTAAGATTTTATGGAGAAAAAAACCTGCAACAATGCTATTTTTTTTACAATTGAGCAAAGGAAATAATGCCTGAGGCTTTCAAGGTTGAATGCACTTGATTTCAGTCATCTATGGTGCTCGCAGCGATGACTGATTTCAATTGAGGCAGAACAATCTGTGTTTTTAGGGGTGGAAAGACATTTCAAGCACTTTTATTGTTGTTCACCATGCTCTGGAGGGTGAGCTTTGTGAAACATTCATACCCAATAATTATCATTATCAGTCAATGTCACTGTGAAGAAATGGTGGCATTTTAAAAGAGTGTGTTTGTGTGTTCCTAGGCCTCTCAGATTTGATCCATGATAACTTGACAGAATCCAAGAGGACCATCAATCTCCTTCAGCGGATGAATATCTACCAGGAGGTCTTCCTCAGTGTTCTCTACAGACTGTTGCCCATACAGGTACCCCATCACTCAGCTGTCAGATATTTACAACGGCTTGTAAAACACAATAGATTAGAGTAATGCTGGATGATTGACTCTCTCTCTGACTGTTCTTGTCATTTCATACAATCACAATCATACCACAATACACTGTTTTTTTTTGTCATACATATTTAATTAGTACGTGTTACTGCCATGAATAATAATCATACAGTGGAAGCTTCTTCTAGTGCTCAGCTGTTTATATATCAAAGCATGATACGAAAAATAAAATATTTACTTTTCTTTCAATAGCTTGAGTATGAAAAGAGTATGTTGGCAAAATATATATTATATTAATCAAGTAGTTATTTTTTGGCCTGTTAAAAAAGAATGATGGCACTGAAACTAATGCCAAGCTCTGGGTTTTAGCAACTTATTACCAATTCTGACATTCGCTAAAAGTGCAATTCGGTTTCAGTCTAAATTAAAATGTCAACAGCGAGGAAGAACAACCTTTATTTTATTATCTTTTTTTATTTATTTGTTGTCATCATCATGAAAAGAAATACATATTATTTGTGTCAACGGTATTCATTTGAATTTAAGTGAAGTCATGTCAGTCGATGTATTTAATTATTTATTATCGCATCGTTGTTCTGTATGTTTTCCTTTGTTGTTGTTTTTTTATGTTTTTCAATGTGGAAAATGAATTAAAAAAATATAGTAAAACATATATATCTATATCAAATTCAGTAGCAAAACTATTTGTATTATTATTTTATGTTACATTCATAAATATACAAATGTCAAATAGATGTTAATCCGCATGATTAAAGTTTTTTGTATAAAATATTCATAAGCTTAAAGTGATTCATTTGACCCTTGATCACAATAAGAGCTTTTCACTGCAGTCCGTCAGGCTTTTGATCCGCTGTGGCATTTAACATTTTGGTCTTTTCTAGCTGACATGTCTTGGCACACTTGTACTTGTCACGTCGGAGGAGGAAAAGGTTTCTGTATCAGCAGATCAATTAACTGAGCTGCAGTTACTTAGCTCCCTCAGAGAGCTCACTGTGACAAGACTGCCAGGAAGTGAAACATCAGAGCAAACTTTGAAAATGCCACAGTGTTCCTGAGAGTATGTCGCTGTCACTGCAGGCAGCTCTGTGTGTCCTTTCACAGCGGCTCTAATGAACTGCTGCTCTGTGTGTGTGTGTGTGTGTGTGTGTGTGTGTGTGTGTGTGTGTGTGTGTGTGTGTGTGTGTGTGTGTGTGTGTGTGTGTTTCAGTCCTATCTGGAGCCAGTGTATTTCTACATCTACACAGTGTTCTCGCTCCAGGCAGTGTATGTGATCGCTCTGTACCTAACTGCATGGCTCCTGTCAGGCTCCTGGCTGGCCGGCACTCTCACCGGGGTCTGGTACATCCTCAACAGGTGAGAAATAACTGTGTTCATGCGACAATGCCCCTTTCAGACTCAAACTCTGATAATGTTACGCTAATTTCCCATGTCGGCACAAAATGGGAGTATATTCTTAGATTTGATGCTCACTCAAGCTCGACAAATCACAAATCGTCACTGTCCATGTAAATCCTTTTGTGGTTGCAATATAACAAGGAGTGCAAAACAGTTAAATAAGAAATGAAAAAAAAACGTCTTTTTACCAGAGGGTGTAAACAATGGAAGCAGGGATGGGAGGGTAACTTTAAAAATGTATTCCATGACGATTAATAGTTGCCTGTAAACATTAATCAGTAACCTAATCTTGGTTCCAAAATCATTAAGCAATGTAATCTGATTACTTTGTTATATTTTTGTTACCTCTTTATCAAATGCAATATAATTAAACAAAAGACAAAATGAATATCAATAAGAAGTTCCTTACTTAAGTTTATTATTAAGTTTTACAATGTCATCTTAGAAAAGAAGAAACCAAGATATTTAGGATCAAAGTGTGCTCAGAGATTTGATTTATAGGTTTGTAATCCTGCGAGTAATCTCAATTTAAAAAAATAAATGTAACAGCAATCTAATTTCGTCTTTTTTTTCATGTTACTAAGGAGGTATTTGTATCGTGATTATGTAATCCTGTTACATGTAATCCCTTACTCCTTAAGCCTGGATGCAAATGTCAAACTTTTGAGAATAAATGTGCGTTGCAGATGTTTAATTGATTTTAAAACAGAAGTAAATGATTTCAACATGTGTGTAAGGCCTCATGAACACACAAACTGTGTCGGATTTACAAAGAATGCATTGTGTCCGCTGATCCCTTCTCTTGCTCACGCTATCTTCCCCGTCTCAAGGTTGATTCACAGATATATTGGGCAAGCACGCCAAATTGCAGCTGAGTGCAATTCTCCCTTTTCTGCATCTGATTGCAATTATCCATGTGGGGATGTTGCCTTTGTGCCGAGATCACAGGAGGCAGAACAACAGAAGAAAGGGAAATAAAAGCTTCAGGTCAGGACTGATGAGATGCTAATGCTTTCCCCAACTTCAGGCTAGGAACGTACCTATTTGGGATTTAGGATTTAGATCGCAGGGTGACAGATGGGCAATATAATGCCAATTCATATACTTGTATCTTTCTGTATCACTCTTCAAGTCTTTAAGAGCAGTCAAATTAACATTTTAAAGGTCCTCATTAAGTGCATTGCAGTAAAGGTCACATTGAATCAGTATTTCATTTACACAAGGAAAATATTTCACGAGCCACTTCCACAGCGACATTTTGCAAATGAGGGGGATTTTGATAGATCTTTTTATGTCAGGTGTGAATGTCTTTTAAAGAACGTTTTTATGGTGGATTCATTTTCCTTCATGGTTGAGTGGGAAATAATATAAATCACAGAATTCACTTAGGGGAAGCTTTCATATTGGAGTTTAGTACTCGGAGTGAAGGAGGAATCTGGGAGGAATAAAAAAAACTACAGTGGGGATCAAAGTGGGACAAAACAGTGTCAAGGTGGGGTGGAATGGGATGAAATGTAAATCCTGTTTCCGTAGTAGGTGCCAGTAGGGCTGCTCAATTAATCGTATTTTAATCGCAATTATGATTATGGCTTGCAACGATTACGAAAACAACGTAATCGAAATAAAAGGATTATCTTTTTATTATTATTATTAGTGTATTATTATTTTTTAATTACTTTTTTTAAATGGATAATCGTTTTTAATCATCGTGATATCAATTATTGACCCAAATAATCAAGATTATGATTTTTGCCATAATCGAGCAGCCCTAGGTGCCAGGCTATTGTTCTGAACGCCCATTATTCTGCAAACCCAACAGTCCGAAAATGAGAGCCCTTTTGTCCAGAAGCCTGTTATCCCAAATATACATTTTCCCTGCGGCAAACAGAAGGCTAATTATAATGCAAAAAGACAGGAACTAGCAGATAACTAACCCCCTCAACCTCATCTCCCCCCAACTCAACATCGCCGTGGGAATGTAGAGGGGTTGAGTGATCCTTCATTATGAAGAATTCCATTCTTTCCCACAGACAAGGCCTCCTCGCACCTGGAGAAGCAGGGACGCACTGTGAGAGTCATTGACAACTCTGGGGCTTTCCAAACCATTGTGTCCAAGACTTATAGAAATGCTATTGGTTGTGATACAACTGCTCCGTAACAATGTGTACGGGATCAAGTTACTTTGGGGTCCAAATAAATAAAAAACTGGACCCCCCAAAAAAACTGACATCCTATTTAGGAGGAGTCAGAGCAAATGCAAATGGATGTTTCCATTGGATTCAGGAATATAGAAAGTAAGATCTATGGCAAACCATATGATACCTACATGTTTTGTTCATCAGGATAATCTCAACAATACACGTCAATGCAATTGCCAGAAGTAAATAGCTAACCTAAAGCTATAAACTAACTACATCACGGTCATACAACTTCACATCAACACCGCTAAGCTAAAGGTGGCCAATGTGTGGCGCGATGATGTTTCCAACTCCCTAGTAACCGCTGTTTAAATGACACATAGAAGACCTTAACGTGTGAGCTACTTACTGACCTATTTTATATCAAAGAACAACAAGGGAAAATCTCTTAAGCTTGTTCTAACCACACATCTTATTTCAGGCATCTGTGTTATTGGACTCATTCCTTTATGTCTGGTTGATCGGCAACACACACGTTTGAGACACTGCAGTATGTGTCAGATGCTATAGGTCTTAGTTGGGGTTTGGACATTTGACATAATTTTGAAAATGAATCACTCCCTCCCTCTCTCTCTTTCTCCCTTCAGGGTTGATACCACTCGTGTGGAGTTCACCATCTCGCTCAGAGAGAACTGGTCGATGCCCTTCCTCGCGCTGCAGGTCACCGCTATCACCTGTTACCTCAGGCCTCAGCTCACAGACTTACAGCAGGTACGCACAAACCCACGCTAAATCAAAGCTACTGATCACAAAGGATGTCATGATACACAACGCGTAGAAGTCAATACCTATATAAGTGTTATTTCATGGATTGTCAATACTGATTTGATGCCACAATAAAATGAAATCCTGTGTATTTCAACAAACAAGCCGGTTTTACAAAATTCCCTCTATTTTATTTATTTTATATTTATTTTATATTGACTTTATGTCCTTCAAAAAACTCTATTCAATTTTCCCACCAAAAACTACATTTTACAAGATTATATTTAGATGAAACATCATGACACGCTTGAATTCGCCATGACCCAACTCTATAGAGCCTCCATTCACTGGCTGCTAACAGCTACTGGTGACAAGCTTTTGTCCTGCCACTTTTTTAAACTTGTATGTATTGTTCACAAGGAAGCATTATCAGAGAAAAAACAATGCGTTGATAGTAAGTTAAGTAAGTAAGTAAGTCTTAAACAAATGTCTTATTGTCATTGGGCTGATGGGACGCCTAAATACATTTTAAGGCCTGACAATACAAACACGGAAAGAAGTAGTCATGTTTTAAAAATGTCTGTATCCTCTTTGTAACTTGGTGTACACTTTACATTGGCCTGGAATTGAAACACACAAGCCGTCTGCTCAACATTCTAACTCCCTAATGGTACATTTACACTGCAGGGTATTGCACGATTCTCCTCGATGCAACTTGCTCTATTTTGGTTTTCCATTCGCAAAAGATGGTCTAGTAACTCTTACTTCTTTTGACACAGCCCTTGTCGCGGTTCTAAGCAAACTGAGCCACCACTGTAGACCAAAGATTGGTCAGATAAAATAGTCACTAGCTTGACACGGAACATCCTGCACAAACCTGCCGTTTTTTAACCAAGCAACCGACAATTGCAACTGTAATTCTTTTCATGTACTCAACCTAGATTTAATTTAAAAAAATGTCAGATCGCAAGAAAACAGCACCAGACACAGCAAAGGCACTAAGCAGCATAATTAATGAATGGCAGACATACCTATGCTGATAATCCGGCCTACACTGAGAGGGTACAATCCGCAGTGGAAACCAAAATGGAAGAAAAGCTCTGTCACTAAAAGAATATCCTGTCAGCAGAGACGTACCATGCAGAGTAAAAATGCCATAAAACAGCAAGCAGCACAACAGGAATGAGTATACAAGCCATTGAGTACCAAGCATCTAACCCCAGTGTGTGTGTGTGTGTGTTTTCCTCCACAGAAAGTGATGGTGTGGTTGATGTATGTGACGACGTTTTGCTTCTGTCTGACGTGGCAGTTCAACCAGTTCATCCTGCTGGTTCAGGCTCTCATCATATACAGCCTGGACTGTCTGGACTTCTTAACAACTACACAGGTGAGGCTCCAGGACAGACCTGACCTAATCCACAGAAAGGCAGTGTATATAAGACCAGGGGCCTCATTTATAAAGCTTTGCGTAGGATTCACGTGGGAAAAAAAAAAGTAAATCAATACGCACACAAATATTCCGATTTATAAAACACTGCACACGCACGTCCTACGCCGATTTCCCTTTATAAATCACAATCAACTAGAACGGCGGTGTTCCGCTAACTGTCGACCTTGTACTAATTGTTTCTTTTTGTAAATTAAGGTCTATGGTCAGCCAGTACTGGAGGTGATGCCGTCCTAGGGGCCTGGGGCCTGATTGAATAGAATAAAATAAACCACTTGCTAGCTGAGGTACGACGATAAGACCAAGTTTTTTTGGACGTAGGGTGGTTTTGTTATACTAACTAGAGCTGGAGAGTTTTTCTTGGTTTTAGACTGTGCCACACTCTACTAGAAAAAATCGACAAAGACAGGAGTAAAGGACGATAGAAGAGGTATTATCAGTCAGGTTTTTACTTTATAATTAATGCCCGCAAAGAACACTGAAATTAATAAATATCCGTTTATACCCGCAATGCACTCGAGGCGTTTTCGAA